GGTCCATGGCATGACATCACACTGACGTCGTTGTGAGGGCTTTGTACCGATTTTACTCTATTCCTGGTGTCTGTGCAGGCTGTCCATTCCTATTGCTACATGCAAACTTAGGTCATGTCCGATGCATAAGCGCTTAGGTAGACTGTTAGGAATTAATTAACAAAAAAGTAGCAAGAGTCCGTGTCTCCAACGCCAAGACACTTCATCTGTTACATCGAACCAAATAATTCATGGGTAGACAAATATTAAAAAAATGTGCAATGCATAGGCACTACATGCGCACTCAGGTCATATTCGATGCATAGGCATTTAGGTAGACTCTTAGAAATAATTAAGAAAAAAGTAGCAAGAGTCTCTGTCTCCAACGCCAAGGCACTTTATCTGTCACATCAAACCAAATAATTCATGGGTGGACAAATGTTGTCAAATGTCCAATGCATAGGCGCTACATGCGCACTCAGGTCATATCCGATGCATAGACGCTTAGGTAGACTCTTAGGAATTAATTAAGAAAAAAGTAACAAGAGTCCGTGTCTCTAACGCCAAGGCATTTTATCTGTCACATCGAACCAAATAATTCATGGGTGGAAAAATATTGAAAAAATGTCCAATGCATAGGCGCTAGATGCGCACTCAGGTCATATATGATGCATAGACGCTTAGGTATACTCTTAGGAATTAATTAAGAAAAAAAGTAATAAGAGTCCGTGTCTCCAACACCAAGGCACTTTATCTGTCACATCGAACCAAATAATTCATGGGTGGACAAATGCTGTCAAATGTCCAATGCATAGGTGCTACGTGCGCACTCAGGTCATGTCCAATGCATAGGCTCTTGGGTAGACTCTTAGGAATTAATTAAAAAAGTAGCAAGTGTCCATGTCTCCAAGGCTAAGGCACTTTATCTATCACATCGAACCAAATAATTTATGGGTGGACAAATAATTTGGTTCGATGTGACAGATAAAATGCCTTGGCGTTGGAGACACAGACTCTTGCTACTTTTTTCTTAATTAATTTCTAAGAGTCTACCTAAGCGCGCATGCATTGGATATTTGACAATATTTGTCCACACATGAATTATTTGGTTCGATGTGACACATAAAGTGCCTTGACGTTGGAGACACGGACTCTTTCTACTTTTTTCTTAATTAATCCCTAAGACTCTACCTAAGCGCCTATGCATCGGATATGACCTGAGTGCACATGTAGCGCCTATGCATTGGACATTTGACAATATTTGTCCATCCATGAATTATTTGGTTCAATGTGACAGATAAAGTGCATTGGCGTTGGAGACACGGACTCTTACTACTTTTTTCTTAATTAATTCCTAAGAGTCTACCTAAGCGCATATACGTCATATATGACCTGAGTGCACATGTAGCGCCTATGTATTGGACATTTGGCAATATTTGTCCCCCCATGAATTATTTGATTCGATGTGATAGATAAAGTGTGTGGCGTTGGAGACACGGAATCTTCCTACTTTTTTCTTAATTAATCTCTAAGAGTCTATCTAAGTGTCTATGCATTGGACATACCTGAGAGCGCATGTAGCAATAGGAATGGATAGCCTGCAAAAACGTGAGGAATAACGAGTGAAACCAGTATAAAGCCCTCACAACGACGTCTGTGTGATGTCGCGCCATGGGCCCATAGCTCATCCCTAGCAACCGACTGCCGTGTTGGGGAAAAAGGGGAGGCGATTTGGGGAATGTGGAGCCACCGGCCGTTGCGTTTTCACTGATTGCTGCTTTTGATTGAGGGTTAGGGATGAGGAGGGAAGGCTCCAGGATTTGATGGATCTGTGGTGTCTCGTGGTGGGGCAGTTCTCCTTCCCACTTCCTTTTCCTAGGCAGGATGGTCATCATTAGCACGCCCACCATGTGAGTGTGAGGAGGGATGCAAGATATGGTAGCAGTCTCATGCAAGCATCGGGACCCACCACCTTCTCCCCTTGTGACTTTACTCATGCATGCAAGTACACGGGCCCACCACCTCCCTGAATCTCTCGCCCCCCTGAATTTAACAGGGGTGGGGCTAATCTATCTCTCTTTCTCTAAAAAGGAAACTCCATCAAGCGTCAATAATAAATGGAAATCCCGAGCGTTAAAAAAAGGAGACTTCATTACTTAATCATGGAAATGCAGCTAGTTGGAGCGCTCTTGTGCGCATTAGAGATAAGGGGCCCGTCCTAAAGATCAAGTGGAGGATATGATTACGTGAGGGAGCAAAGAGAAATAAGGAAGGGATCCATCATGCGCATCTCCCACGGCCCATCTGGTGCTCCCAAAAAAGCGGTCAGCTCCTTGGAACGGATCGCTCAGTAAATTCGCATTGCCGGACAAATAATCATAAAATCAATCCATAGTTAAAGGGAACACGACCCACCGCAAGTGCCAGATCTATTCAATCTCTACTTTACATATACTCTACTAGCAAACCTAGGCAATAAGCCACGGACATTTCTGAAAAAAATAGTGTGCAGTTAGCATAAGTACAACTAACAATTCCTGGTTGTTCTTGGTGTTTTGTCGCGCTGCAGCCGTGAAAAAGGAGAAGCTTTATTGATAACTGCAGCCCACAGATGCTCAGGAATCAAACCATCCACCAAACAGTTGAAGTCAAGTCTTGCCCACAAGTCTCCCTAAAACAAGTTGATGAGGGCGCTAACCAACAGCCTGTCTTGCGCGGCAACGAGAAAGGTTCCACAGCCCAAGTTCGTTGTCTGTCGCCGTCACCGTCGTCGCCATCGCCGTCAAACCCTATCTCAGTGGCGTGTTCCGCTCGGCATACACTAGGCGAGTGCAAATCATGCAGAGAGTACGATGAGATGGTGTCCAGTGCATGAGGTTTAATTATAAAATAATTATAAAATAGATTCTTCCATGCATGGTTCAATCTCTCTCCTCCATTCCCTCTTACACTGCACATTTAATTCTTCACTACCCATGCCATTTTCACAAGATTTTAAAGCTTGAATCTAATTAATTCATTGAATCAAAAGTTTAATTTATGATCCATTGGCACATTTGTGTTCCTTGCAATTAATACTTTGAAATAAGACCGTTCTTGAATACATTTTGACAAGAATATATTCTGATACGCATAGTTATAGATGAACCTGATAAAATGGTTTCCGGGAAATAAGACGGCCAGTTAAGGACCCCACGAGGCCGACCTCCGGCGCCATTTCTCCGACCGGCCTCGAACGACCTTCTCCCGCCGGCTTGGTGCCCAACAGGAGGAGTGCGTGGAGACATCACGCCCAGCACACGCTCCTGGTGTGCTCTGTCCAAACCGTTCTGACATGAGAGAAAGATGTTGTTCTAATATGGTTGTTCCTGTTTCGTTTTGAGGGAAACTAAGACTTTATTTAAACAAAGTTTTCAGAAATTTCTGAGGAAATAATTTGTAAGATACCATCCACGCCAATGCATGTGCAGCTCCATTTGCTGATTGATGAACCCAGGTCACTTTGCTCTCCTGAAACGCCTTTAACTTGTCCTTTATGTCCATGATGATGGGACCATTTGCACACAAACACTTGCCTGGGCTATTCAACATCCAAACCAGTCCTTGGCAATCAAGTTCTACATGCACCTTTGCTATATTCCCGACCTACATGCAGCAGCTTCAGGGTCCGGTGCAGCTGGATAGCACACGATAGCTCCTGTTGTTGGCAATTACTTGATGGATTCTTCAGTTGTTGGTCTTTCTTTTTCGCGCTCTCTTGATTGTTCCTCTGTTACATGGAGCGGAGGCAGCTTGGTTCACAAGGTACCTTGGAAAACATCCACGGAGCGCACCTTGCAAAACTCAGGGTACGTTTTTCCACAAGGACATAGGAGACATTTCTCCCTCGCGCCCTCCTATATAACCTCAAGCACCAGGGACATACACCATACAGGCGTTCCCATTCCGTGTTCCATGGCCGAGCTGCCTCTCGGGTACCGTTTCTACCCTACCGAGGAGGAGCTGGTGCGCTTCTACCTCCGACACAAGCTCGACGGCAGCCGCCGAGCCGACATCGAGCGCGTCATCCCTGTCGTCGACGTCTTCTCCCTCGACCCATGGCAGATCCCAGGCACATGTCTACGAACCAAGATATTATACATCCAATGCTGTTGTGAAATGCATTGCCATCTCATTACTAACTGACCGCGTATTTGCGTGCTTCAGAGGTGCACCGGGGAGCTTGCGCCAGGCACGGGGAGCCGTGGTTCTACTTCTGCGCACGGCAGGACCAAGTGGCGCGGGGCGGCCGGCCGAGCCGATTGACGCCGTCGGGGTACTGGAAGGTGGAGGGCTCACCAGGGTTGGTCTACTCCGCCGACGGCTGCCCCGTCGGGACCAAGAAGACCATGGTGTTCTACCGCGGCCGCAGGCAGGCCGCGGCCAATACTAAATGGAGGATGAAAGAGTACAGAGCCCTCGACGAGGAAGACGGTGCCGATGCCGATGCAGATGTCGCCGCTCCGGCACCGAACCCTGTGTTCAAGGTAATTAACAATCTAAACATGGTTTAATTAGTTAGATGATGATCCTCAGTACTCTCATATAAGATTCCAAAATTGATGCATTGTTTGTGGTTGTTCGTAGGTGCGGAGCGAGTTCAGCTTGTGCCGGCTATACACAAGTTCACGCAACCTCCGGCAGTTCGACCGCCGGCCGTGCACTGCCTTCGCCGGAGGCAGCCGCGCATCGTCGTCCGCCGCGCCTGCATCGCCAAATGAAGACGTTGAAGTGGGAAGGGGTCAGAAAAGGAGAAGGCATGCAGCTAACATCAACACGCCGTCTAGCGACGCTTACCACCCTGTGCCGCAGCAGCAGGGAGCTCGCCGACCACATGACCAACTGGGCAGAGCTATTGGACTCGACCGACTGGGCAGAGCTTTTGGACTGGATCTAAGAAATGGATGGCATCTATCCAAAACTGGAGATTTTTAGAGCGTTATAACCCTCTATCCAAAACTAGAGATCTGCTCTAAAAAATGATCTCAAGTTTGTTCAATTCAAAATCAAGGAGAAACATGCAGCTTTGTATTTACAGTGTATATACAATAATCTCTAACCTATGGAGTTGATACGTAGGGCAGGAATTAGATATATAGTTCTGTTTTACACCTTTGTACCTTTTTCGTTCCTCTCTTTTCTTCTCCCTTATGCGACGTACCTTTCACAATTATATGAAAAATACACTGTAGAACAATTGTTCTCATGCTAAAAAAAAAGGACATCTGCATGTCTTCATGTTACTGTTTCCGCACCACGGCCACGTGTAGTCACGTCATATGGAAGATGGTGACCAGGCTCCGAATGTCTAAGCACAGCAATAGAAGAAAAAAAAAGTCCTTAGAAAAAGGATGACAAAAATGAGTCCATCTATGTGATGTCAAAAATCTACAATCACAAATTCAAAATTATGCCTCCAAAAGACAGAGATTAATTTAGTGCGTCTCTTTCTCTAGTGCTAGGAAACTGCGACCCCCTTTTCTACACGAAACCGCGTACGTTGCCCGAATAATCACTTTCAAGCTCTAGTGATTGTAGAAGCAGCAGCAGCAGCAGCTTGCAGCAGAAGCAGCAGCGGCTAGACAAGTAACGTGTGATTGGAAGGCCGGGAGCGGCGGGCGGCCCAACCGGACGACGGGCGTGGGTTCTGAAAGACGACGGGCTCCGACAGGACCATCCGGAGCACCGACGACCCCAAGCGGGTCATTGGTCTCAAGAAGACGCTCGTCTTCGACCAGGGCCGCGCTCTGCAGAGCACCAAGACGGACGGGGTCATGAACGAGTACCGCCTCCCCGACACTGCCGCGCCGCCTCCCCAGGAGGACAAGGTGTACCGGAAGGCCACGCCGCTCAAGGAGCTCGAGCAAAGAGCTTTTGAGATGGAGGAGATGAAGCAGAGGTCCGGCGGCAACGGTGGGTACGGCTACAGTGGCACAGCCAGAGCGTGCCCGCCCCCGGTCCTGGCAGTCGGCGACTTCTACATGTCGCCATCCGACGGCGTCGAGGACAACTTCATTATCCCCTTCTCCTCGTCATCGGTGGCGCCGTCCGGCAACAGCAGCAGCCAAGACACACCCAGGGTAGCCAAGAAGAAATTAGACGTCGTCTCTATCACAATTCGCAAGTGGCGAACACCCCCTTCCATCTTCAGCCCCAGGCCATGAACGCACCCCGCTGCCTCCAGCTCCCGGCAGCGAACCATGGGATGTCGAACATGTCCAGCCTGCAGCTACCGGCGGCAAGCCATGGAGAGCTGGACCTGCCGAGCTTGCAGGTCCCTGCGGCGAGCAGCCACGGAGTGTTCGGCTGGCTAAATGACTCGACGCAGCTACGCAACCCGTGGCAGGACCCTTACGCCCATCTTCTATACTGACGAGGAACCACATGCAACTTGTGCATCTCGCTGGGCGGCGGGGTGGCCTGCTGGTGGCGGCGCACCAGCGCCCTTCATTCCGAGCGCGGCGGGGCAGCTGCGGTGCTCCCATCTCGGGAGGTGGCGCGCGGCCGATCTCTTGTTGGATTCGGGTGGATCTGGCGTTGGGGGCCGGCGGGCGGCGCGTGGCGCCGGTGGTGTGTGCCCGGCGGCTCCGATGCTTGGAGCTCGCTGGGCGACGCGGGTAGGGCAGCAGTCGGTTGTGGCCGCTGCTCCGGCCGTGGGCGGTGGCGTCGGGAGGTCTGGCAGTGGTGGCCTCTTGGTGTCATGGCGGCTTCTCGGTTGCTCGACGGATCTGCCCGCGGCAGCGGCCGGTTTCTCTGGCGTCGGCTCGTCTGCGTTTTGGACGTCTCGACCTTCACCCCATCTCCTCGTTGCCCAGGCTCTACTCTCATCTTTGGACTGGTCCTCTCCCAGCTGCGGTCCACCGCTCGTCTTGCGCCCGGTGCTGCAGGACCGAGCTCCTCCCGCACACGATGCAGCAGAACCGGGCTCGTCTAGCGCACGTGCAGCAGGACTGACCTCGTCCCCCTCTCGATGCTGCAGGACCGAGCTCGTCTCGCGCTCGGGACAACAGGACGGGTTGGTGGATGCCAGTTCTGGCCGGCCTATTGGGTCTCGACGCCGGGGGTTGCCTAGGGGTGCGAAAGGTGGGACCTTACCGTTCGTCTCATTCGTTGGGGTTGCGGCAGGTCTCGGGCGAGGTGGTGTCGAAGTCTTGGATGCTGGGGCGGCGGCCCTGGTGGTGGTAGCGCGGTGCTCTTGGGCAGAGCCCGTGCCTTGGTGCTGCCCGGTCATCATGGCTGTGTGGGCGGCGTGGTTGCCGGGATGTGGCGTTCGATGGCGGTGAGTGTTGGCCGAGGTGAAAACCTGTTCTATCTTCGGACGGATCGGCAGCGACGAAGATCGTTCCCTTCTTGAAGGCGTCGTCGCGGCTCTCGTTGCCCGTCATGTAGCTCCAGGGGAAACTCGGATACTTGAATCGGCGATGGCGGCGCTCTGGTGTCTGTTCCTTCCTGAAGGCGCCGCCTTAGAGCCCATGGTTCGTCATATATAGCTTCATCTCTTCGTGGTTGTAGTGCTAGGAGTGGTGTTGCTGCGCTCAGCGTCTATGTATCCTGCCCATGGGGTGTACGTGTATTGCGGTGGCATGGCGTGTGTTTTGTACTGGGTAATTGATGATCGGTGCTGTGCATGACCAATATTCTCCTACTTGAATTCTGTCACATTGCTTGGTTCAACTAAATCGTTTTGGTGCACTTATGATTTTCTTTACCATAACATTAGGTTGCAGATTTTTGTTCTACACTACCTAGTGTTATAAATTGTGCACTGCATTCCTGGCAAAATTTCTAGACCTGTAGAGTAAAATTAAAAAAGAAGAAAGAAACAAACGCTAAAGCTAATGTGGGCATGACTTGTAAATCATGCAAGTTCTTACTGCAACTTAGTTGTTAACTTGTTGCTTTGCTTAACTTTGATTTTGAGTGCTGATGCACATGCTGCTGACCATGGCAGCATTGTTTTTAACAATCATATCACATGAATTACCTTGGTCCTTCGACCACTAGTTCCAACTTCTGAGTTCACCCTCCAAGGTGGTGGCAAAGTCCTGGTGCGTCAAGCTGCTGCTGCAGTACAAGCAGGCCGATCGAGCGTATACCACTTGCACCTGGAGTTGATTCACGTATGTAGCAAAGGACCAAGCAACTCGATCGATTCTTCGGGGAACAACCACGTATGTAGCATATCCGCCAGTTGATCATTAGTGCAAATGTAGTTGACCTTAATACTACCTTCTTCCACGTAATCCTTGCAGTAATACATCGTATCAATGTGCTTACTCCTATCACGCCATAATGGTTATACACTTCAAAAAAATTTATAGATTGCATCGTATATGTTCGTATCATTTTAAAAAACTATATGACATTTTAAAGAAATATTCCTATGTTGTAGAAAATATATTGTGACATTTAAGAAATGGTTATGCACTTCAATTTTTTTTGTAGATTGCACTTTTACTGCCGGTGCATTGGATATGCACTCGCATGCGCTTGACGTAGCGCCTACGCGAGGTTTTTTAACATTAACTTTCAACTACATGAGTGAAGTCAAAGGGCGTGTCTATGTCTCGCTTAGTTGATGATGGGCTTGTCTAGTGGAGGCATGGGTCGTTGTGATGATGTCACATTCATGTCATGTTGATGTCACATTAGTTTTTTGCTCAAATTATTTTTTTCTCATTAATGTGATGATGTCACATTAATATTAAATTGTTTTTTGCTCAATTTTTTACAGGAGTTTTTCTTTGTCAAAATTGTTATACGAGTACGGCAGTAGGTTAAGCTTGTTTGAAAAAAGTTTCCAAGATATTTGACTTTTCATGAATTGCTAAATTTTTTTCCGGAACCATTTTAGGAGGTTCATCTACAACTATGTGTGTCGGGGTATTTTCTTGTCAAAATGTATTCAAGAGCGGTCTTATTTCAATGTATTAATTGCAAGGAACACAAATGTGCCAACGGATCATAAATTAAACTTCTGATTCAATTGATTAATTAGATGCAAGCTTTAAAATCTTGTGAAAATCTCCTGTACCCCCCTGCACAGGCCACCGTCTCATCATACTCTCTGCATGTTTTGCGCTCGCCTAGTGCTTGTGGACAAGACTAGATTTTAAGTGTTTGGTGGCCGTGGGCTGCAGCTATCAATAACGCTTCTCCTTTTTCACGGCCGCGCGTGGCAAAGCGCTAAGACAAAACTTGTCCCTGTCGGATGTGGGGCTCGTGCATGTGTGGGTATCCTTCTATAGTTTTCCTTCCTCCCGTGAATTCCACAAGTGGGGCCAAGCTTGCCTTTCCAGTATACCCGGTCTGAAAACGACCGCTGCGACGCACGCGCCATAGATGGATTAAAAAAAGATTGGTGGTGGAAGATAAAAGTACCGTTGCTTTCAGCTGACAGAGAAGTCTGCAGGCGGCGTGTCCCAGGTGGCTCGCCGGCCGCAACGGATGGGCGGAGGCGATGTTTCCCTTTCCCAAGCTCTAGTATCAACCTCACCTGCTCCCGTATCACACCAATAACAACCAGTGATTGTTAATTGTATTATACTTATGCTAACTTCATGTTATTTTTTCCAGAAATGTCCGCCGCTTATTGCCCAGGTGTGCTAGTATAGGAGTATATGTAAACTATAGATTGAATAGGCGTGGCACGTGCTGTGGGTCCTGTTCCCTTTAATTACGGATTGACTTCATGATTATTTGTCCGGCAATGCAGATTACTGAGCAATCCGTTCAAGGGAGTTGACCGCTTTTTTGAGGAGCAGCAGGTGGGCCGTGTGAGATGCACTTGATGAATCCCTTCCTTATATCTCGTTGTTCCCTCACCTAATCATTTCCCCCCCTTGATCTTCAGGGTGCGACCGCTTTTTGGGGGAGCACCAGGTGGGCCGTGTGAGATGCGCTTGACAGATCCCTTCCTTATTTCTCGTTGCTCC